AATCACTACACGTCTAGTGCAGGTGGTTAATAAATCGTACCCAAAACTTGATTATGTAAATAGGAACGGAAGGTGGAAGGCACTCTTTCAGGGAATCCTGATTAATGGGAATGTTCAAAGAGTCCATTTACTTGACTGACTTCTCTAAATGAAAGAACACTGAAGAAAACCAAAGCTATCCACAGTCTCAGTGGGGACTGATAGAACGCAGAGCTTCTGAGGCTCAATGGTATCTTACTGAGGAGAGCCATGAGAGAAACTTGCACACAGCCACACACAGCTGGATTTCCAGAGGCTGTGGGGAAAGGACTTGGTGAGAAGGACCACTCAGGCCCCACGCCTGACCGGTTATTGACTTAGGGTTTATCTTCCACCAACTTCTTAAAAGGATCAGAGGCAGATTACAGTAAGATACACACTCAGTGCTGACTCATTTCAATGGGAACGTAAGATTCAGAGGAGCATAAGGAGGGTGAGCACTCCCTGAGATCTGCTGCAAATGACAGTAACCCAGGGCGAAGGCACAAAAGCAAACTTGTAAACTACTATTTGGCAGAGAAGGAATCATGATCAATCAGGAAAGGCAAGTTTTCCCAGAACCCAACTCAACATTTTATAATCTGGGGAACTGATCCTAGGAATTGATGCTTCTGATCCCCTCGTACCTCCCACACATAAGCTTTGGTGTGTTCTTTTTTGTTTGTTTGTTTTTGTTTTTGTTTTGTGTGTGTTTTTTAAATTTTTTTATATGGTGTGTTCTTTTCCTCCTCACAACTTTGCCGATTTCCAGCTGTGTGACCTGCAGCCAAGGCCTCACCTCTCTGAATCTGCTTCCTCCTGCTTAAACGGGAATGACGTTCCTGCTTATTTGTGAAAGGGAATGAAAGAACATTCGCTAACATTAACTGTGTGTCGGCTAATACCAAAAGCTTTGTGCACATTATCTCACCGAAGCCTCTTAATAACCATGTAAGAAAAGTTCTGTAAACATTTTACAGATGAGCTGAGATTCAGAGAGGTGGAAACAGTCGCCATTGTCACACAGCTAAAAAAGCAGATGAGCCAGAGCTCAAGTTCATGCTTCTGTGATACTGAGGAATAAATTTCACTGTACGTTTCCACTTTTCCCTGCATATGTCAAACACCTAACAGTTCCTGGCACATAGTAGGTACGCAACATATTGGTTCCCTTCCTCACTCCTTCCTTATCTTATATTTATATCGCTTCTTTCCTCTAAGGAAATCATACTACTTACTCTATTTTCTCTACTTAATCCTACCAAATCGCGACCTATCATTATGTATTACTTTCCTTATTTTACAAATAAGGAACTAGAAGGCAGCAAGCTGCTAGGGTGACGTGCCCAGAGTCATATGGAAGTCACTGCCAAAACCAAATAAAAACCTTGGTCCTTTTTACGTCTAAATCAACCTTTATCCTCTCACATGACACAGCCTCCATAATAAAGAACAGATCATTCATTTTTTATCTGGAAAACTACCAAACGTATAATTCAGTAAGGGGGCCCCCTGACCTTACCACCTTGTCAAAGGGAAGAAAGTATATAAAAAATGAGGTTTGCAGGAGCAGAGGGTTTTGGTCCGTCAACTTTCTCTTGGATTACGCCCATTAACCAACATAAAATAATGTAAAATATAATGTAACAGATCCCCATGTCTTTGGAAATTCAAGTTAAGTTAAACTCACTGATCCTTCAAACGTATATACAATGCACGAAGGGCAATCATTTAGTCCCGTGGGGCCGCAGAGGTGCACATTATGTCAACTAGATCTTTGAAAGAAAAATATGATACACAATCAGGCCACTCGACGAGGAGCTGAAGCCAGCAGTGAGCATTTAGCAGCATAAATTCAGAGCATCACAGAATTTCAGCACTCCACAAGGAACCTGGCCGATCACTGAGAACAACCCTCCATCTAGTGTATGAGGAAACTGAGGCTCAGGGCAGTTACGTGGCTTTTCCAAGATTTCACAGACAGGAGAGCAAGAACCCAAAAATAAACCTGCTGACTACTGTCCCTTCCATTTGCAAATCTCACTTCTAACGCCCACGAGTACACGTAGCACTTTCCATAGTTACACAGCTATTCAGAGAGTGCAGGAGAAAGAGCCTGTATTTTGGTAACAGGAAAACTCAAGATTCAAATCCTGAATGCCACTTACTGGCCATGTGATCTTGGGCAAGTCCCTTCATTTCTCTGAATTTACGCTTTTTTCACCTACAAACTGTAGTAAATTCCACAAAGAAGCTGCAGGTGATATGAACAAGGGGGCTGGTACGCCTGTAGCGCCATGAAGGCAAACATCAGATCTGTGCGTCCCCAGCACCCAGCACCCAGCACCGAGCCGGGCACATGATCCATTTGCAGAAAATGCGCTGAGCAAATCAGTGAACTCACTAAGCAACCAGGTACTGGACTCGAACCCAGGTCTATCTGGTTCTTAAACACTAGGCTCTATCACTCCCAAGTCACATGATTTCATGGCAGAGTATTAATTCTGACTTACAGAGCATCGAAAGCACAACGGAATAAGATGGCTATTTTCTGGTCGTAAGGCAGGAAGAAAGTCCAGTGGGGAAAGTTTCCGGACTCTCAATTCTCATTGCTAGTATGGGTGCATCACGAAGCTTTGGAATCAACTAAACCTTGGTGTAGTTCCCAGTTTCAGCACAAGCTTTGTGACCTCAGAGATATTACTTTACCTCTCTGAGCCTAACTTTCCAAACCTCGAGAAAACCCACCTCCCAGGGATGGTGTGACAAATGAGGCAATACATGTACGTAAAGGAATGCAGGATGGCAGGTGGCACAAAAAGACTCCTGACTAGTGTGGCGTTCTTTTTCCCTTCCAGTTATCTAGAAACTTCATGCATTCGACTCACTTAGGTCTCTGCTCCAATGTCACTTCTTTCCTGACCCCCCACCCCCGTCCACGATAAAACCCCCACCCCTTCATCCCGCTTGTTTTTCTTCATCGTCCTTATCATCACTTGACATTACATTATATACTTCTTCGTTTTTCTGTTTACTGGGCCTACTCAACTATAAGGTACGCCCCCAAGACAGGGGCTTTTTGTTGTTTTGTTTACTGCTGTATCTCAACACCTAGGAAAGTACCTGGCATGTAGTGAGTGCTTGATAAGTATCTGCTGAATGATGGAATGAATTAATTCAACACATACTTGGAACTTGCTATATGTGAGACACAGGGACTTAAAGATCATTAAGAAGTGAGATTGCAGAAGGAGAAACTTATTCTGCATGCTGCGGAATCTGAGAGGGTTCGTATCTCACTTGGGTTATGGCAGGTGCCTCCTGACTATTCTCCTTGTGTCTGCTATGTCCCTCTACCTTCCATCTGTTAATCAGCATCCAGAGAGACCCCGAAAGTCACAGATCAGGTCACTCCTCTGCTTAAATCCCTCCACTGGCTTCCCATTACAATGAGAATCAAGTCCAAGCCCCTTCCCATGGTCTGCGAGGCCTAAACCATTAGCCTCTACTCACTAGGTCCAACCTCCACTCTCACCATGCTCTCTCCCCTTCACTGAGTTTCGGACACACTGGCTTTCTCCTTCTCAAGCATGTCAAGGTCTTGTCATTTCTTTCCTTTTTTAATTTAAAAATAAACATACAATAGTCCCCCCTTATCTACAGGGAATATGTTCCAAGACCCCCAGGGAATGCCTGAAATCACAGATAGCACTGAACCCTAAATATCTAATTTTTTTCCTATATATGCATACCTATGATAAAGTTTAATTTATAAATTAGGTACAGTAAGAGATTAACAACAATAATCACAAAATAGAACTATTAAAATATATCATAATTAGTTATATAAATGTGGTCTCTCTCAAAATATCTTATTGTACTGTACTCACCCTTTTTCACAATTTTTTCCCTTTTTACAATTTCATAGATAGAAGATTCATTTTTACCGTAGATCTTTGCAACCTCAGCATCCATTTTTTTTCTTATTGAGAACTTTAAGTGAGAAGGTGAAAGAAGCACTTTAAGGGTTCTCTCTGGCATATCCAAATCGCCAGCATCACTACTCTTGCACTTTGGGGCCATTATTAAGTAAAATAACGGTGAATTGAACACAAGCACTGCGATCCCACAACAGTCGATCTGATAACCCCAACAGCTATTAAGTGACTAATGGAAGGGTAGCAAACACAGCATGGATATGCCAGACAAAGGGATGATTCACATCCCAGGTGGGATGGAGTGGGACACTACTCAGAATGGCGCTCAGGTTAAAGCTTATGAACTGTTTGTTTCTGGAATTTTCCATTTAATATTTGCCAGCCACAGCTGACCACGAGTAAAAACTGCTGAAAGCAAAACCACAGTTAAGACAGCCTACTGTACAGTTTTGTTCTTATGCCTAAAATTCTTCAACAAGCAAGGACTAATGTAAAAATAACTCCTCAAGGAACATGGACTTAAGATCACAAGTATCGAGGTCTTTTCCGACTTGGGGCCTTTGTGCTGGCTGTTCACTCTGCCTGGAGGGGTCTTCCCCTAGGCTGACTCCTCCTTCTCGTCCAGCTCTCAGCAACATAGTACTTCCTTAAAAGAGTCCTCCCAGGCTACAGTCGTCTCTGCCACCATCGCCCTCATCAAGTCACACTCTATCGGGTCCCACTGCCTTTTCTTTCCACGTAGCATTTCATTATCTGGAATGATTTTATCTATTTGTGTGTGTTATCTTCCCAGCCAGACTGTAAACTACATGAGGGCAAGGACTTTTCCAGGTTGAGTGCTACTTCTCCAGCCCCTAGTACATAGTAGGCGCTCAATAAGTATTTCTGCATCAGTAAACTAGACCTCAAAAGACGTTGGGAGTTTGCCAGGATGAGAGGTACAGGTAAAGTCTGCTCTCAGCCTAACAGCATCATGGGTGTTGGTTTCCCTGCAAGGACAAGTGCCCCCTTGCATCAAAATAAGTAAATTTCAGCCAAACTTACTTGGGAATGGGTACCCGAATTAGCGTCCCTTCCACTTCTGGGTTCAGATTCATTCCACTTTCTCTTATAGCCTTGATAGCTGCAGCTGTACACTGAAAACCAGATCAAAAGGTAAACAGAATTAGTAAATAATTATTACCAGATGCAAGCCCTCTGTCGATAACTGGCAACCCATCTTGGCAGAACATGGAAACATTTAGTTCTGTTACCAGTAAGATCAGGAAGTTACATTGGTGTAGAGTGCTTTGATCAAGTTGAATAGCAAACTATGTCCACTCCTGGTACCAGCGTACTGCGGGAGGAAAAAAAGCAAAGAGAAGGAAAAAATAAAAAGAAAACAGCTCTGCTTCTTTGAAAAGATTTCAATGGTTTGAGGCAACACAGATCAAAACCACAATAAATCCTCCAGGGAGGGGGGCTGGTCTGTGCAAAGATTGGTGTAAAGACAGATGAAAGATTTTATACATTAAAAATTCCAGTTGACATTTTACACTCAAAATATACCAGTGCCGTCTTGAAATGAGTAAATAAATTTAACTCATTCGCATCTACACTCACACCCATCTCACTCATGTTTTGCAATGAGCAATGAATTTCTGCTGGCGTGTGCTCCAGGCAAGGGAGAATGGTATACTGGCTAAAAGCATGGGCTTTGGGGTCAGAATGATTTCAGTTCAAATCCCAGCTCTGCTTACCATGTGACCCTGGGCAACAAGCCTGACCTCTCTGAGCCTCCATTTCATCATCTGAGACCATGTGACACCTACACCTCAGAGAAGATTCAATGAGGCAGCATGAACAATGCCTCTTGCTCTGGGCCTGGCCCACAGTGACACCCAGGCAAGGGGAGTTAGTATATACCTTCAGGGTATAAAGGTAAGAAAGCACAAAACCCCCACACAAGGCTGAGCTGCTGATGTCACCACTTAGCTGATGCACTGCTGTCCTGACTGACATCCTCCAGTCCTCTGGACACGGTCCTGCTCTCTATTGTGCCAGGTGGCACAGTGCCACACTGATTTCCCAAAGCACCTCACCTCACCCTAGGCACTAGTATAACCACAGCTGGTAGGCAATCATAAAGGATAAAAGATAGCGGCGTGGAAGGGAGATACTTTCATCGGCATGACAGTGTGGAACTCATGAAAATGAGGCCTCTGACATTTTCCAAAGAATTTTAGGTTTTCTTAGAGCCAATCCACACCCTTGGGATTCACAGGGCCAATTCTTGGCGTGGATTTCCTCCCTAGACTTGCTGGTTCAAAAGAATGGGATTTGTTGCATACCTATTTTACATATTTTTTCCAGGGTTTGCTTTGGTTTTTGAGGGAGTGGCTACAGAGCTTATCTGTTTCATTTGAAAATGCCCTTAGTTCTACAGGGACATAAGGTGTTACCATAAGATCAAAAGATAAACCCAAACTTCCACATGGAGATGAACCAGCTTGGGAGGCTGTACACTGAACCTAACAGTGTAGCCACTGCTTAAAACAGAAAACTCGCAAAGTGGTCCCTCTGACCACAGACTATTGGAGCTGGAAGGGATCTCTGACCTAACCGAGTAGTCCCTTCTTTAAATATACAGGGGCCCGTTGGATAAGGTCACAGCCCTAAGCAGAAATACGGTCTTCCCGGACAGCCAAGAGCAGGGGCGCCAGGACCTCACCCACTGTACTTCCGCTTACTGGCAGAATCAAGCGGAGACACTGGGCTCCCAACTCTGACTCCAATGATGTCACTGTCTCTACTTTTTTCCAGATCCCCAGTTCAATGTGTTTAGTAACTGTGGCAGAGGAGGATTTGACTTTTTTTAAATCGCCAAAAATAATTTGGAATTAGGTCTGGTGTATAAAGGGTATGGCCAAGGTAAATAAAAGAGCTGGATAAAGAAATGAAATTTTCCTCTGCAAGAGAACTGCCATCTTCCGTAATAAAATGAAACGCAGATTTCTAACGTTCACCATAAAGAGAGCATCTCCACTTTGCAGGGGTGGCCTGATCTCAAATCTCCCGATGCCTTCTTTTCTGACGCTTCTCACCCAGTGACTGATAATACACTGTGGTGACAGCCTACCACCATCACCTCCCTTTCACAATCAGTCCCAAGTGTGTCCATGCGTACAGCCTTCCCCATAGGCACAGGAGCACCCACTTGCTGATACCAAGCTGGGCAGTCACTATGTTTCAATAGTTACATCTTCTCAATACAAGGCTCAGTGTCAGGTCCATGGTAAGTGCTCAGCAAAAGCTTGTTGAATGAGCATATTAATAAACTGGCTCAGATCTATATCTCCTTACTTTTACTTCATGTATATAATCCCCCCAAACTTCACTTTATACTTTACTTGTTCTGTGTCCTTTCATATGCAGAAAAAAATGTAAATCAAGAGGTTTTATTTTGCAAAGAAACCTACCAGAAGATGTAGTTCTTCTAAAATAATAATATATTTCAGTTTGATAGCTAGGATGTAGTAACTCAGGGAATGACAGTCATTTTCCCAATATGACTTCTGAGCTCCTCATGGTTCAAACAAGAAGGCATGTGTTTCTATCGCATTTCCATCCTTTGTCTCAGCCGTTACCCCTCACTGAAGGGATGCTCACTGGTATCCCCGGGCAAGTAGGCTGTTTTCGGACGGGAACACTGACCAGCTGGTGTGGCTGCTTGGAGTGCTATGTTGAGAAACATCATAGACCCCATCCGGGGTCAGGCAGGAGAGGGTGCGGTCATTGATTAGCAATGTCTGCCATTGCCATTCATAAGCTTATAATCTATGCTAAAGGACAAATGATGATAAAACCTTTGTAGACAGGTAAACAAGTCCTTGATAATTTGTGTTAGTGACATTTCAATTACTGGTCTTCCATTTTCTTTATAGCCCAATGACTCCCTGGAATATAAGGTCTATGAAAGCAGGGACCTTATCTGTCTTAATAATCAGTGAATTCCAGTACCTCAAATAAAACCTGGTAACTTGCAGGGACTCAAAAAATACTTGTTAAATTAACGAATGAATGGTAAAAGGAGCACTGGCTTTAGTGTCAAACAGATCTATGTTCAAATCTTGGTTCTATCACAACAGTGTGAACCTGGGGGATATTTTACTTCTCTGAATCTCAGTCTTCTCATCTATAAAATGGAACAAATAATTCTTAATTTTATGGAGTACCTGTGTTGATCACATGAAACAGAACATGAGGAAGTAATGCCTGGCACACAGTAGACACTCAGTACACATTAGCTTTCTTCCTTCCACAAGGGCAATAATGGAGCCTGCAGATTTTTTTTCATTTGCCTTGTTCAAATCATGCTGTGGTTTTTTTTTACTCCCTTCTTTTCTTTCCCATCATTAACTCTTGCTGCAGGCAAGTTTATGGAAAGCAGCAACTGTGTGTATCATTTATCAAGCAGGACACATGTTAAACAAATGCAACACAGTTTTCTGTCTTCAATGCATTTGAAAAGATTATGCATGTAAATCTGCATCGTGTCACCACAGCATGACACAGAAATGTGCAGGTTTGGAAAGGAAGCCAACCGCATGTGAAACAGAAAGGAATTACATAAACACAGAGAGGATTAGCTCAGCATTTTGAAGCTATGAACCTGGGTACTCTATGGACAGCTTCTAAAGGGGAGGAAGGAAATGTTTAGTTAGGGCTATTTGTTTAATATATACACCAGATGAGATAAAGGAATTCAAAAGACAATGTAACTCACACTTCCTCACTCTGTCCTTGTAAAGAATCTCTGTGAGATGCCTGTTAGATTCCGCCTCCCCACCCCCCCACCCCAACCCATAGAATTTCAACTTAGAGAAATGGCAAAGATGCTTTGCTTGAAAAACGACGATATACTCCAACTTCCTAAGAAAAAATTATGCTGTTAATACCTCCTCCTGCCTCATGAGATGCTCTGGTGGCCAATCAGGTGCTTCTTCTGTGAATGACATTTGCTATTTAATAACAGAAGTGGCTGGCTCTGAAAAGCAATCTGCCTGATGAGGTCTTCAAGCTGTGTAATTAGGAGGCTATTCCCTAAATTGGCCTGCAGTGCCTATGGGATTAGATGAACTAGGCGGAGAGGTCTCAGCGGTTCAGAGGGGGCCAGAAAGGAAAAGAGGTGACAGTTCCCTTTCGTCATTTCTCTGCTCTTCAGTAACCCCAGGAATGAGTGCCTCCCTTCCATCAACCTAATAATACGTATTCATCCCTTTGAGGAAAATTCACTGAGTGCTTCCATGTGCCAGGCACTGTTTTAGGTGCTCAACAAAACGAACAGGTTAGATACAATTCCTACATTCCAAGTTTACAATTTAGTGAAAGTATGATGGGAAATATATATGTTTATTTACATCTTTTAATAATGATAAGTGCAATGAAAAAGAGAGAACCGTGCTCTATAGGAGAGGTCAGTGTGGAGGAATAACTTAGATTGGGTAGATTAGGGAAGGCTTTCCTGAGAAAGTGACATTAAAGCTGTGATCCAAATATAAGTAGCAATTAGCCAGGGAGGTGTTCCAAGCAAAGGAAAGAACATATGCAAAGGCCCCGAGGGTGCAATCGGTGCAGTGTGTTTGAGGACAGCTAAATGCGGCTAGAGCTGTGTGCAGGGATGACAGTGGCACCAGACTGGACAGACTGGGGGGGGGGGGGGGAAGGACAGGCAGGGGCCACATCATGCAAAGCCTTCTAAGCCACAGTAATCTTTTTCTTAAAGATTACTTGAAGCCACCGATAAAGGTAAAGCATGGGAATGACATAATCCAATGTGTATTTTTAACAGTTCACTCCGGCTGCGCTGTGGAGATTGGGTATGGGGGAATGGTGAATGATAGTGCCCTGATAAGTGTGCCTGGTCTGTTAGCTACAAGAGCCCCCTGATTTGAAAGTGTTCATAGCAAAGGTTTTTCCTTACTTATATCTCTAACCCAGCAGGTTCGACTTTTGTCTATGTCTTTGGGAGAGAAGTACTGAAACAGACAATCAGAGCAGGAAGGGACTTCGGATTCCTTCATCTCAGGTAACAGATGAGGACATGGAGGTCCAGAGCGAAGCCACTCACACAAGGTTAAATAGCCAGCTGGCAGCA